TTTAGCAAATACAAGAAAAGAGATTGCTAAAAGGAAAGATCCTTTACTTAAGCTAGAAGATGCTTGAAGTAAGAATAAGGTTAGAGAGAGATGTGCGCTCTCTGCATGGAGAAGAAACACTTTTATTTATACCCAGTGCATTAAATGATCATTTAATGCAATATGGTAGGTTTAGTGTGCGTGTCAAACCTTAAGAGGAAGGTTTGTCTTTTGCTACATTGAATAGTACAAAAACACTATTTCTGAGCAGACATCCTTACCTAATGTTGGTGGACAAAGAGTCGACTAATCGGCTCCGTACCGTACTAACTTTTGTAAGGGTATGAGTTTGTCCTTTGTGTGCATAAGGACAAGACAACAACAATCGTGCTAAGCAAGTTTCCTTTGATCGCTGAATGCTGGAATGACCTGGAGGTCTCATCATCATTCGCTGAAGCTAGAGCAGTCTTCACATATATGTAGACAGGCTTGTAATCACTGAATACCGCTTCAGATCACGTACTCGCCAGTCTCTAATCTTAAGTTTCAGTCTTCGACGTTTGCGGAAGGATCTTTGGTGTGTGTGTTGTCTTCTTGAAGTATTGCTGTCTCTGATAGATTTACAATGCAAGTTCTTCAGCGATCACTGAACATACTCAGTGATGATCGTGGAACTGAAAATATAGAAACATAAATACAACGTGAAAGGAAAAAGAGATTATCATCAAATCACTGTGAGAGAGAGGATCAACAATCTCCCCCTATTTAATGATAACAAGATAACATAAAGAAGGTTATCTTATCAAATAATAGTAAGGAAAAGTTAAATATAAAGTACATGTCCCTTTTTACTATTTTGGGATCTTTTTCAGTTTGGTCAGTCTCAGCTTGAGAAGTTTTCTTAAGTTATATCTAAGAAAATTACAAGTACGGAAACTGAAACTGAAAGCTTATTCACTGAGTTAAAGACTGTAAGTGAACGGCAAAAGTAACATTGGAACTCATAGACTTGTGTCCCTATTACTTTTTTCAGGGATCTTTTTCAGTGAAGTACATGKAATACTCATTTTATTAATCAATGGAAATAATACAAGTATTACATTACATGTTCAGAATTTACAAAATGTAGTTACAAAGAGAATCTTATTCTATAACACTTAGATCTATGTAACCAGGTACATTTTCACCAAGGTTTCTTGGACGTAGGAATTCCCTTCGTATCTTCAGATCGACGACTCTTCCAGACATGCTATCATCTATGCAGAGCAAAAGATAAACCAAGTGATCCATTGGACATAGATGTAGCTCTGACATTCTATCCAATCTGACTTCACCTTCATAGTCAAGGAATATAACTCCTAACTCAGGTTTAAAATGCACAGAGTTGGGTGTATAGGGACCCTTATCTGGCAAGTTATGATTCAGCATAGAAATGTCAGTGCTCATATGACCCTTCAGGACTTCATCTAAGGAGAACTTTGTTTCATGTTCGTTCCTTAGGGATGGTCCATCATTAGGATCAGAGAGCTTTATTTTCTTCTTCCCACCTTTCTTCAGAGTTGGCCTGTCAGGGACCTTGACATATCTGGACATCCTTTTGATGAGCTTGTTGATGGTGTCCTCGATAAGTGTCATGTGTCTTGACTTGGATTGCTGAATGGCTTGTCTGCTGAATGGCTTGTCTGATCTCCATCCATTCGCTATATCCATAGTGGCCAAGGTAGGAAGGGTACTCGATAACGGTATCAAGATTGTCCCTGGTGATGAGCATTGAGACCAGTGTTCCACCGTCTTTAGATCGTCCGCTGATGTTGACGCTGATGATTGGGCGGGGACTTAGTCTCCTTTTCAACTTTGCTTCGCTCCATTGCATATCCTTGTCCTCTAGCTTTTGCTTCTTCTTGCATTCAGCTTCTGCCATTGAAAGAAGTTTAGCTTGGGCTTGGACAACACTCACCGTTTTCTTCGACTTTTTCTTGGGAAGAACTTTAGCAGCTAGTGACTTGGCCAGCTTTAGGCTATCTTCAGTCTGCTTCTTCTGAAGCTCTAGCTCTTCTTCAGCCCTTATTGCCTCGAGTCTTTCAGCTTCAGATAGGAACTCAAACTCACCACCACTAGAGGTACGAAGAGGAATTTTTACTCTAGTCTGGTCGAGTGACTCCTTAAGCTGAGACATCTACTGGTCTGTTGGAGTATAAGAGCTGGGTTGATCAGATACCCACTCCAGTCGACCGCAGGTTGTTGAAGGGATATGAAGTTGATACTCTGAAGTGATCACTACCTGAGAGGTAGAGTCTTCAAATAGGGTTTGTTGAGGGCATGAGAAAAGTACCTTCAAGTTACCTTCTTTAGCGTCCGTCTTGCCTTTCGACTTGGGGTCCTGGTGCCCTGATGGAGTCCATTCGCCTTGCTTTTGCTCCTCTGGGATTGAGATTCCCCAAGGGCAACACCTCTGGTGACAGTTGATGGCTTCTAGAACTTGATGGTAAAGTCATTTCATCATCATCGTCGTCGTCACCATCTAAATCATCTCCGGTGTCAGGAATGACAGGTTCATCATCGTCTTCATCATCATCATCATCATCTTCATCCTCATCAACATCATCATCATCACCAGCAGCAGTGACGGTATGGACATCATCCCTAGGGATGGCTTCTACAACCTCTGCTTGAGCAGCTTCGGTGGTAGGGATTACAGGAGCAGCAACTGCTTCAGCTTCAACAGCCTCGACTTCAACTGCAACTGAAGCTGATACTGGGCCAACAGCCTGAGAAGCTGTAGGAGCAGCATCAGATGATCCACCAGCGTTGGACCTCATCTCCCCCTCTCTAGCTAAGACTTGAGAGAATTGGCCAGAGAGTTCGTCCAAGCGCTGTCGTTGGAGAATCATGGAATCCTCCAGCCTTTGCAAAATAATGGCTAGAGTTGTCGTTGCCTCACGCATCTCATGGAGCTGGGCATGATCATCGGCAGAGAAAGAGGGTGCACTCACTGGAGCTGGTTGACGGACAGCATCCAGGATTTGCTGAAGAAGTCCAATCTGCTGATCAGCAATCGCCTGAGCATCGTCAGTCCTGTTGTGAAGAATAGCAATGGCGTCGTTGTTGTTGTGAACAACTTCTTGGAGAGTCTGGAGCTGACTATGAACTTCTTGAACGTCCACCTGGAGGGCTAGGAAGTTCACATCAAGATCGCCTTGGCGGGGCATCTCTTGGTGAACTTCGTTGACCTTGGAGAG